TTAAAGGCGCCCAAGAGTACGCAAGAAGCATTACAATGATGAAATTTTTAGTGTGGAAACTACAGTGTTTTCTGGCGATCTTAAATGATTGCTGAAGTTAATGATTTCACGGACAAACTAATGAGTGTTCTAGATAAAAGAAAGAAAGCCTATTCTGGATTGAACTCTCTGTTTGGTTTTTTTGTGAATCTACGCAGCATGGATATCTTGGAGATTACTTGCAGTGAACAAAAACTTGTTGACCGATATCCAACTAATTTTAAATTTTACTTATAGAACAAATGTCTTAGAAAACCGGGAATTGGATTCCATTAACCTGAAAGATATTATATCTGCATTAGCCAGCTTAAAATGCAGACAAAAGGTGGTTTAAAACCTGTACTGATTTGCAGCGTGTTTTTTAATAATAAGTAAAGTAGGTGCTTGTTTAAATACAAAAGAAAATACATTATAAAGTTATAACGCAACAATTGCAAAGATTTTTTTATTTTAAACCGCTGCTAAATTTGAAGACTAGGAGGCCAACAGGGGCCAGAAGACCTAAAATGCCAAGAGGCCAAGAAGTACTTAGCCCGGTCCAGTTTCTGATTCTCTTTTATGGATGAGTTTGTATTGGATCAGCTACTTTATTAAAACAACAGCCTGCTCCTCCTTGTGTTTCTATCTGCATATTGTAACAATTTTGTCTTCACTTGTTAGCCGTACTCCTTTCAAATCAGTAATATCAAATAGTTAAGTAAAAGAAATGATTTTTTTGGTTTTTTAAATGTTTATCATAATCTGTTATTAGATTTTTTACTTTACGATGAACAGATTGCATTGATAAAATAGGAAATAATTTTTTTTTCCACAATTCTCTCAGTTCATTTTATTTTGATTAGATTTAACTTTGACAAAACATTTTGTTAACACAAAAAATTTTGTAAACTTTTACTTTTGTAAACAATAAAAATTGATTTGAATCTTCTAATTTTTAGCAACTTGTAGTTTTAGATGGCATTTTTTTAATACTGTTTGAATTGTCCAATATTGACTACAAAAATCTATTTTTTTCTAAATTTTTAGGCCAATTTTTCTTGTTTGTGTTAATTAAATTCTTTGATTGCTTACTGAAATTATTCGATTATATTAAAAAAGACAAATATTTGAAAAATATACGTTTTCAAAATATAATTTAATTACCTTTGATTTGCATGCAAGGTAATATTAAAAATATATCATGTTATATTTATATTTGTGAATGTTTTCAGAGATGATTTTTAGTGTGTACTTATTCTGTTTTGTGATTTATTTGATGTATATATAATATACCCACCCAAAATAACATATTATCTTTTCAAATAGATTTACATTAATGTATGATTGCTGTGGTGGGTGACTTTTTTTAAAAAAAAATAAACCAAGTAAAATATATATTGAAAAAATATACATAAATCCCCATCCCCTAATGCTATAGTGTTTCAAATATTTAATTAGAAGTATTAAAAGTCAACACCCTAGTGTGGACAATTTTACTGTCTGTGTTCTAACTTTCACAATCGGATTCCTTCTGTACCTAATTAGCGTTTGGATTTATAATGAGAAAGAAAAACTTCCTATCTCCTTACTGACGACTCAACGTTTCCTAACTGACGACTCCTTGTAATTTCTTTGTAAAAAAAAAAATGTGTCAAAAGGTATTAATAAATACGTTTTACGCAATCATAATTTTCATTAAGCAGCCATTTTATCAAACTAATATTAGTGAGTTTTCGTTTTTGTGGACTATTGCGGACCATTTTCAAGGAGCAAAGTAGTTTTAGTTAACCTCTCTCAAGACTTTATTCAACTATGCAAAAATGAAAGTTTAAAATTATTTATTTTTACAATTGATTATATATTAAAATATTTTCATTAATATTTATTAATTTCCTATTTTGCCCTCTATATATCAATTATAAATCAAAAAACTAATATATTTATTTAATCAGTTATATAACATTTTTATCTAAATCTATAATATAATAAACGAAATCTTTTCCTCCTTTTTTGGTAAAAATTTGTTGTGTATGATTTTTAACTTTTTAAATAATTAAACATTGCAAGATAATAAATTATTAAAAAATAAATTTGTAAGATTGTTTTTTTTTGTAAATTTCTTTTTTAGTTTTTTGAATGTCTTGTAGAGTTTTTTTTACTTTATGAGTTTCTAAGATTTTAAAGAAACTTTAACACGTGAACTTTTGAAAACTGTTTTTTTACCTTAAGGAGACTCGTAGAAGACTCTTAGAAGACGCGCGGACTCGTAGAAGACTCGTAGAAGAGTCTTCTACGAGTCCGCGCGTTCTATTATTTATTAACACCAACCATTTCTTGTAATTTAATTATACTTTTGTATCTTATATTTTATAACAGACTCATTTAAAAAAATGTAGTATAGAACAATAATTAAATAAAATTAAAAACTTTAAAAAAATATGTCCTGCTTTAATATTGTACAGCTTTTGGTTGACAACTTTGTTTTTAAGATCACTTGCGTCTTTTCCAGAAGATAATTTGACACCATCTCGAGATCGAAGTAAGATGAGTTCTCCAAATATAATTCAATAGTTTTTGATAAGTGGAAAACGTGGTTGAGATCTCTCGTAGAATAAAGTCTTTTAAAGTTTAATATTTTTATCTTTTAGGTTTGAATTGATTTTCCATTTCTGATCAAAGTTATTATTTCCGGGTTTTTAAAAAGTTGCTAAATACGTTTCCGTGGCTGATTTTGTACTCATATAAACAGCATCTAATTATATGTTTATTAATGCAATTAAGGCTAGTTTTTAATCAAACATTTTGGAAAGTGTGTCCTGGATTGATCGGGTTGTTCCTCAAACTTAATGAAGGTCTTTCTGACACAATTAGCAGTGCGGCAACGAAGTCTTCATACCAACTTTTTTAGTCAGTTTCATTGACATCATCCGTGTTTAGGGCATCTGCATAATGAAGAATTCTGCAAAGTTTTTGTGCTAAATGAATTTTTCCATACCCAGTCGTTTTTTTCAGTTGACCGATGTCTTTCCTTCTTTCTTTTTGACAGTTAAGACCATTCCTGTGAAACTGTTAATGTATAAATGGCCTAGTAAGACCCGTGGCAATCATCATAATGAAATGCTTTGTCTTTAAATATCATTTTATCGCCAAAACACTCTTCCATTGGCATGCCATATCAATTCAGATGCCGTAAACTCTGCTTATTATACGTATGTTAAAATTTTGAGTCTTCTATTATAGAAGACTCAAAATTTTAATGGGTATAATACCCATTAAAATTTTTTCTTGTAACTAAAATTTTTATGCATTATAATCAAAATTATGTAAGATTGGAATTTGTGTCTGAGCTTCTTGGCTACGGTTTGTTGACACAGCTAATGGACGTTCTTTGATGTTTGTAGTCAGATAATTCCGGCGCCATATTTTCTTTTAATGTCTAAATTTGCCATTAAAAATAATTACCAATTTTTAAATTGTAAAATATACAAATGGAGGGGGCAAGAAAAGCCAAAATTGTCTTATCGCTAAGCCTCTAAAAACTGAGTTGCATTATTTTGCAGACAAGGTCTCACTGAACACTTGTGTTTTATCCATCCAATTAGATGAGATCCACTTTGCAACTTGGATTTGCTGATGAATGTTGCTTCTTGTTTTTTTTGGTAAACTAGTACTGCGATTTCGTAAGTTACGGTCTCGCTTTTTGTTTTCACGGAGCTATCAATATTCTTTGACATAGTGGATCTAAGAGCACTTATTTACATTTGTACCCCTTATTTTCATTAAGGATTATGACAGAGAATTTTATGCTAATCAAGATTCAAGTAAAAATATTACCCTAAAAATAAAAAAGTTCTCTAATTAGATATTGAAGTGTTCAGAAAATACAGTTTTTGTGTAATCCTTGATAACTATAAAATTCTTTCATAATCATTAATAAAAATAGGGGTAAAGTTGTAAATTAGCGCCGGATCCAACTGCAATAACACCTCGAATGAACAATTTGGGCTAAAAAAATGGGCTTTTATAATCAAACTAAATGTGCTTCTAATTGCGTAGGCACCTAAGTCGGTCACGTAGGTAGTTTTTTTATTTCAGGTTAAACGCGCTTTTGGTTACATAAAGTCGCCCGAATATAGATGCTCTTCTATATTTGAAAATGTTTACATATATCGAATATTTCCCAATTATTTCTAAACAATTACGAGCTAATGTTTGGAAACGAATACGGGAGAATGCTGCAAACGATACATTTTACCAGGTGTTGAATAAAAATGCACAACTGAATGCAAAAACAAGAGTAAACTAAAGAATATAAGAATTAGTGAAACAATATTTAAAAATATATATATTGAAAATTAAGACACAATTATAGAAATCAACTAAGATGATCTAAGTCTACTACGAGTTTCATATTAACAATTACATTTAAATATGATTAAATATACGGTAGTTTACTTATTATATTTGTTTAGCCTTAAACCAGTCTGATGTTTTCGAAGTAAGTTTGCGACAGTAAGAGTCGAAGTAAGTTTGCGACAGTAAGAGTCAGATTGCTTGACATTAGTTTTACCTTAACTATGAGTTATACCTTAACTTCGAAATATTATTACCAAACCTTTATAAAGCATTGATTGTTAATACAATATTATTTATTATCTTTTTGAAGCTTTTAGTGAAAGCTCATTAGTTTTTACCCTGATATCTAAAAACATATTTGAACAATTCATAGACGAATTTATAAAAAATATTATTAATAAATTATCTAATTACAAATTTTAAAAAATGTTTTAATTTCATATAAACTTCATTTTTATTAATTCAATTTATAAATTTATAAAAAAAGGCATTTTAAAGCAATTTTTCTAATTACAACAAATTATTTAATATTTAAGGAATAGAATGGAGATTAATATTTAAGGAATTGAATGGAGATTTAGATACTAATGTACTAACAATTGACTTTTCAAGTAAAAATACTTTCAATGTGGAGTGAAAATTATAATTACATTAAAATATTTTTAAACAAATAATACATTACAAATTAACTATTTCTTGAACTTCTTTTGCCAAATTTATGTTAGTTAAAAAATCAAACTTAGGTATAATTTTCACAGCTTCAACGACGTGGTTACTTGTTATTAAAGCCGGATCTAAAGTTGTTTTATTATTTTCAGTTGCTTTAAAATTGGATGTTCGTAGTAATTCTGATGCAAAAGCTTTCATAGCGCTGCGTAGCATGATATGCAAAACTGGAGCTTTAATACCATTGATAGTTATTAGAGGCAGATGAATATTAATCGTACTTACAGTTTCATATATCCAATCTAGTTGTATATTAGAAGCTATTTCTACAAGAGGTTTTTTTGAAGCTTGATCTGAAACGTCATTAGTATTTTTCAAAACATCAATAAATGTACAATCCCCTATATCATTATTTTTTTTCAATTTATCAGTGTCCTGCATTGATTTTTCTTTATCTAAGAGAGTATTAATGTAGGTTGTGAATGATGACCTTGTGTTAGTTTCTTTTATTCGATTTAAACTGCATTTGCTACAACAGTTACCATTAATGGGTTTGACAATTTCTGTTTGTAACTGTCCACAAGAGTGACAGAAACTATAAACAGAGTTTATATCTATCACTTTTGAATCAATTTCACAAGGAACATGCCCATACTGCCTGCACCATATCATTATCTGCTTAGTGTTTGGAACAATTACTGGCTTTGAGTAGACAGTTTTATATTCAATAAATAACTTTTTCATAAAAATAGCGCGCTGCCATTCACATGCTCTGCGCTTAGAAAAAGACCAACTAGCATATTTTTGATAAGACTCACATGTGAAATAATTTACCTTTAATTCTTTATTTGAAATCAGTGGTGCATCTATAATTAGTTCATGCAAAATTGATATAGTGTCAAGCTCAGTAATATGAAAGGTTTGCTTATTCTTAAAAGAATTGCTTGATAAATTTTTGTTCATAGTTGGAAGACAGTTAGCAGGTTTTGTTAATGAAATGTTTGAGCTATTGAATTCAGAAACTTTTGATAAGGTATGTGAAGGTGCAAGATTATTAGAATTTAATGGAGGATTAGTAGAAACCAATGCAGTGTTAGTAGAAATTATTACATTGTTAGTGAAATTTGATATACAGTTTAAAGAATTCGTTTTGGAAACAGAAGAAACTAATCCAGGTTTATTACATATTGATACTTCAATTGGTTGTTTGGATGAATTTTCATATAGCTTTTTATCATGAATTTCAGAAAGCCGCTCGTTATCACTTGCATGACGATGCAACTCTAAAGTTACGATGGTTTCAGCACCTAAGGTTTGAAGACCAGTATAAGTCTTATCAAGTTTTAAATTATGAATTATATCAAATCTCTTATTACGAAGATCACGAAAATGTAGTTGCACTCGAATAGGAAATTCACCCCACCCTCTTCGTGTTAACTGAAATGGAGGTGAATTAATTTGTATAATATCATTTGGAATGTAGCTTGGGTGAAGAAAAAACCACACTGATTTTATATATGAAGATATATCTGCATCATGAGCAGGTCCACGAACATAGACCATCCATTTATGAGTAGACTTGTCATTTTCTTTTCGAGTTTCTGCAAGAAGGTATTTTGATACATTTCCCACAATAATTTTTTTTTCAACATAAAATCGATTCGTAGATGAAATCTCCAGGTTATTCTCATCTTTGTTGTTTTCTATAACTTCATTTTCATCTTTTAAACACGAAGAGAACTGCAACAAATTACTTTTTAGTATTTGAGGTTTTTCATCAAGTAGCTTTTTATTAGGTATGATGGAAGTTTGAAGTTCGTTTTCCTTTTCTCTTTTTTTTCGTTTTCTAGTTGGCAAAGCCTTTGATACAGGTATTACTTTTTCGCCTGAGCCATAGTAGCTCGCAACAACGTATGCGCGTAATCGATCAAGCAGCATTTTATTTTGATGAATACGACGTTCAATTTTACTAATTTCATGATGTTTATTACTTATTTCATCATTAAACTGAGATATAAGAATGTTTCTAATTTTTTCAACTGTTTTCTTTTTTGAATCTTCAAGTTGGATTTGGTTGCGATCGATTCCTGCTTTATTATGAAACTCATTATAAGAAGGATCTTTATCCTTCTCATTGTAATTACATGCCATTTATAAAAAGAGAAATAACAAAATGCTCATTATGAATTTTCCCAACTGCAAATTTGTTAAATTTTTCGATCTACACGAGGAAACTTATATGCTCCTCTTTATATTTAAGTTGTTTACGCATATGACTTATAGCATGAACATTAAAAATTTATGCTGCTTCGATGAATTCTATTTCTTAATGGTCAATGATCAGTTAACTAAATTAAAACCATATTTCGACAAATACCTTAAATAATAGAGTTATTATTTTTTCTTTAGATAAACCACTTATATTTAAATTTTTATCTTAAAATATCTATAAGTATACATATAATAACCAGGACCACCACGACCAATGAAAAAGACCGCTGAAAGAAAATTAATTTTGATTTGTTATTCAACGCCGTTAATGCGCGTTCTGGAAAATACACAAATTTTCCGATTTAATAAAAAGTATGTTCAAATCAGTGATTCCCAAAGTGGTCTATATAGACCCCCAGGGGTCAATGACAACCTGCAGGGGGTTTGCGTCAGCAAAATAAATATTTAGGGGTCTATGAAATTTAATCAATTGCGACCGCCTAAATGATCGCGGCAGAGCAGACATGTACAAAGTACTGCCATACGTGACTAGCTGATTGACTAAACTTGTTACCCGCTTTTGTTCATTAAATTTTGTTCAAAATTGAGTTCCTTAGCTTAAAAGGAATTATAAAAGTGCCGAACATTTTCACAATACATTTAATTACCAGGTCTTTTTAAACTGTTGTTGCTCTCCTACTTGAAATTCAATGCCATTAAAATTTTTATACTCGACGACATTTTTATTAACAAAGAAAGATGAAAGAGTTCTTATAATAATAGAAAAAATTTAATGACTGTTGTGTGACGTGATTGATATAATACGGTTGTGTTTTTAATAAAGTTATAGTGAATCAGCATTATTTTGTTTGAGAGTGCCGAAGAAAAGTAAGTACAAATTTTTTGATTATATTTTAGTTTTGTAATGGTAGTTAGCAAAGATAAATAAATTATGTGAATCATGACTTCAGTTATTGGTAGTTTAGCATTTAAATCATACAAAATTACATGAGTACATTACATAAGTAATATTCATAGTATTGTTCTGACATTTATTTATAATGGCTGTACACCTATGCCTAACATAAATTCTAAAACTATACGATTTAAATTTGACTTTGATTTTTAAATGCTAAAGAATAATTTTGCCCACAAATGACTGATGCCATTCCCAAATGTAAAAAGAAATGTAGACAGTACAGTGTTGATTATTTGAAATTTGGCTTCATTCCATCATTGACTGACAAACAATTGCCTTTGTGTCTTTTATGCAACAAAATTTTGGGCAATGACGCTATAAAACCATTTAGGCTGAAAGATCATCTGAAAAGATGTCACCCTGATAAAACAGATAAAGATTCGAAATACTTTCAAACACTTAAAGGTAAAATTTAGAATAGACCCACGCTAGACAGATTGTTTGCTTTGACATCACAAAGAAACGATGATGGTTTGAGGGCATCTTACAACATCTCGCTACTTATAGCAAAATCCAGAAAACTGCATACTATCGAAGGGAAGTTAATTTTGCCAGCCGTTGAAGTGGTTTTAAAAATTGTTTTACACAAACCTGCATCTGATATCATTAAAAGAAAAGGGGTCTACGACACAAAAAAGTTTGGGAATCACTGGTTTAAATAAATTTAGCCTAAGTTTAGCCTAAACTTTATCTAAACTTTAGGTATAAAATTTTGCTTCATAGTTAAGGTATTATTTTTTGGTATAAAATAGTGTTGATGTTATACAAAGATAAAACATTAACTAAAAAAATTTTTTTTTAAACAAGTTTTAAATTATATATTTAGTTTTTAAGCAAATTTATAACTTAAAACTTGTTTTAAGTTATAAATTTTCTGTTTGATTTTATGTTGTTTTTTTTTGTTTTTTTTTTTTAATTCTTGGTCTTGACCTTGAAATTTTCATTTATTTGTCACCATACAGGGCCTATGACACCGGGAGGCCAAGAAGCAGGTTTTCCCCCAAATTTTTTCTACAGGATTTTTTTTTTAATATAAGAAAATTCTAGATATAGACAACTTTTTTTAAGAATTGACGTTTGTGACCCCCCTCCCTCACTTCAAAACTCGTGTCGTCGGCCCTGTCATTTAAATGAAAATCTTGAGGTTTTTAATCAAGGCTATTAAATCATATAAAAAAAAATATTGAAAAAATTATTTATTTCATATTGATTATAAACACTTTGAAAAGCAAGACCTTTTTATTGTTAAGCATTTAAAGCGCTGTACGAGAATTAGGTTAAAGTTGTTCTAGAAGACAGAGATTGCTTTTAGAAGACAAATATTAATTTTATGCTGCATAGCTTTATTAAAATTTTGCATAGTATTCTTAACTGTAAAGAATGCATGGTTAATAAAAAATTTAAAGCAATTTAAAAAAAATTTCCTTCAAATGTAAAAGGCTTAAGGTGGTACAACACCAAATATTTTCTGAAAATTGAAAAAAAAAGTGAATTTTTGATATTTCGCTCATTTTATAGACAATTTATTGTAGATTAATAATATAAAAAGCTTATTCCCAATATATCTTTTAATTTTTTAATAAGTTCACTAACTAAAAAAAAATTATATAGGAATGATAAGAATATTTAATCTTCTTTTGCGTTTTTCTCCGTTTTCAACTTTTGCGAAACATTGTCTGATTGTAAACATGATATCTTGAGAAGCAGAAGTGCTAATCACTCCAAATTTTCAGGAAATGTTTATTATACTATTCTCTAGGGAATGACATTTCGAAATTTTTAAATTCTGCTCCAATCATTTTTTTTTTTCAACTTTAAGGTCTAAAAAAGTTTTTTTTTTTTACTTGATGTAAAAAAATTCATATAATTTTTTATGTACTTGGAATATTTTAAAATCCAAATGTCAATACCTTACCTTACATGTCTAGAACATATGTAAAAAATTTCATCGATGTTGTGTTAATATATTTCAAGTTATCGTGTTTTGAATGGACCCATTAAAATGAATGTTTTTCGATAAATTCGAGGCAAAGTAATCGAGGCAATGTAAAATCAAGTTTAAAATAGCATTCTAAATTGATGAAACTTTAATTAATAAAAAATTCATCTGTTTTTTTCTAAGTTTGAACATTTTAGAATATTTGGTGGTGTACCATCTTAAAAATAAAGCTGAAAAAAGAGGAATGAATATCCAGAAAAAAACCTATAGTTGTATCTAATAAAGCAACTTTATTGTAACTAATAAAGCATTTTATAAACTTAATTAAGACTTTCCACTACTTTGTAGAGTGTGACAAAAAATTCACTGTCAATTTAATTAACAAAATACTGTCAACTTGGTTGATTGTCTGAGTGATGGGTTGTTGTGGATGTATTTTTATTGTATCTATTGACCTTATACCTATTTATATGTACACGTTTTTTGAATTAAATACATTAATAATAAAAATTACAATGATATATATATATATATATATATATATATATATATATATATATATATATATATATATATATATATATATATATATATATATATATATATATATTTGTATATATATAATAAAAATTAATATAAACAAAGTAAACAGTTCCTTATCTACCTCCAATTTTCATAAGAAGACGTATGCAGGACGTATGCAAGACGTATGCTTCATACTTTCTTTTGTAGCTTCATCTTTTTTTCACACAAAGTAAATTCAATTAAATACTTAATTGATAGAACTTCAAAATTAATTATACTTAGCTTAGTTTTTATTATGACATTTAAAATTTCTTTTAACATTCTCAAAAGCAACATGTATCCAGCTTGGCTTATAAATAAAAATTATAATTCTTATCTTTCCAAAAAAACTATTTCTACTAATCAACACGAATCGGAAACCAAGAAATCATGGAAAACTACTAACACTTCCTTATGTTGGCAATATATCTGTTCAAACAAAAAAGAGTTTAAACTCTATCACTAAAAAATATTGTAAACTAATAAACTTTAATTCAATTTTCACCTCCTTTAAAATTTCTAATATGTATCACCAAAAGATCCTCTTCCTGTAGAGTTCAAATCATCTGTTGCTTATAAATTTGTCTGCGCAGGATGTAATTCCTGTTATACAGACGAAACTTCTCGCCACCTTAAAACATGAATGATTGAACACTACAGGAAGGACAAAAATTCACACATATACAAACATCTCCATGCTAACAATAACTGTTTCAATTGTTATATTTTTATGAAAAATGTGAAAAAAATTAATGAAACAATTATTTAATTGTTTCATTAGTATTTGTTAATGAAATAATTAAATACTTGTTTCATTAATTTTTTTTACATTAAAAAAATCAATGAAAAGTTAAACTTATTTTAATTTCTATTCACATCTAGAAAAAACCTACGAGATCTGAAAGCACTCATAGAGCTCGTTTAACAACCCATATGACATATCTGTTCTACCCAGCTAGCACACTTAGATTGGGCCAAACCATCGCGAACGTCGGCTCTTTTTTCCAATGCAAAAACAACTTTGATTTAATGTCATTTGGTTAATGATAAAATTATTACCGACGGAACTAAAAACATCTGGCAAATCCCAGCTAGCACACTTACGTTGTTAAAACATTAGAACAATGTCGCGCGTTTCGTTGGCCCAACATCGGCTGCCAACGTTGTTTTTATATCATTATTGTTAAAAATGCGACTTCGCCAACAACTAAAAACCAATGTTGATAAAACGTTTTTTTAAAGTCAAAACGTTTTTTTTCTACGTTGATACAACGTTTTATTTTATACGTTAGCACAACATTGTATTTTACGTTGTTTCAACGTTGAACTTTAGTTGGTAAAACGTTGTACTCAATATTATTCGGAATTAAATTTTCATTAAATTCTATTTTCTTAATATGTTTATAATATAAATATATCTACAATATACTTATATAATGTGTACATAATATATTTATATAATATATACATATTATATTTATATAATATATAATGAATATATATATATATATATATATATATATATATATATATATATATATACATATATATATATATATATGTACATAATATATTTATATAATATATACATATTATATTTATATAATATATAATGAATATATATATATATATATATATATATATATATATATATATATATATATATATATATATATATATATATATATATATATATATATATACATATATATATATATATGTACATAATATATTTATATAATATATACATATTATATTTATATAATATATAATGAATATATATATATATATATATATATATATATATATATATATATATATATATATATATATATATATATATATATATATATATATATATATATATATATATATATATATATATATATATATATATATACAGTATGGGCAAAAAAAACCGGCCAAGATTTTTTTGCAGAAAAATTTACATTTTATGGGTTTTAAAAGAATTTCTTAGATATTTAAACTAATATCTCAACTTTTTGCATATTTCTTGTTTATTTAAATGTCTTATAACTCATTTCCTATATTAAAAATGAGTTTCATATTAAGTCTAAGTTAACTTTTTTCTTCTTTTCTTAACAACTTCTTATTTTAACTCTTAAGTAATTTGTTTATTTTGTAATTAAATTATAAATTTTAAATAGACAGGTTTAACCTTACCTTAACCCTGTACATTTAAAAAAAATCTAAGATGTATTTATTAATGATAACTTAGATTTTATTATATTAGATATGCTTATTTATTACATTTTAGACTAGATAAATATATTATATATAAAAATGGTTTTAAATGACATTAGTAAAGGAAGAATTATTGAGATGTCATCCTTTGGTATGACTCATAGAGATATTGCAAGCAAGGTTGGATGCCGAAATAGTACTGTTACTGATTTTCTAAAAAAGTATAAGGAGACAGGAGAAACAGTCCGTCAATCTGGATCAGGAAGAAAGAGAAAAACTACTAAAAGAGAAGATAGACGCATTGTCCAAGCTGCCCTTAAAAATAGCCGTATTTCTACAGATGGGATAAAAGCAGAAACTGGTATTACCAATATTTCTGGAAAAACAATAATCCGTTGTTTACATGAGTGTAAAAATTTAGATTCTCATTGGGCTATCAAAAAACCTCTTTTATCAAAGATCAACATTGCACGTAGGCTTCAATGGTGCAGTGAGCATAAAGACTGGAATGTTACCCAATGGAGACAAGTTGTTTGTTCAGATGAGTCTCCTTTTAGCTTTAGATGCAATCAAAAATTTTCCTGTTTGGAGGCGTAGTAATGAAAAGTATCACCATAAATGTATAAAAGCCACAGTTAAGCATCAAAAAAAGATTAGCGTATGGGGATGTTTTGCCGCGCATACTACAGGAAGGGTTCACAAGATTAAAAGCAATATGGATCAATACCAGTACCACAGCATCCTCGTTCCTAATGCAAAGCCAAGTTGCTTGGAATTATTTCCAGATGGTAACTATGGTAACTATCTATTTCAACAAGATAATGATCCTAAGCATACTGCAAAATATAACAAAGCATATGTTGAAAAAAATATGCTAACTCTGAAATGGTGGATAGCCAATCTCCGGACCTAAATCCGTTTGAAAACCTATGGTCCATCCTCAAAGATAAAATTAAAAGAAGAGTGTGTAATGATGAAGTTTGTCTTTTTTTTTTTTTTTTTATTATTATTATATTTTCTTTGCCGTTTAATTAAATTTACAATGAGAAAAAAACATTCATGTATAAAAATTGGCCGGAGCAAGAAGAAGACATAAACTGTCTTATCGCCAAGCCCCGTTTACATTAACGTCACAAAGTTACAATTTAAAAACTAAAAGGTTAAAAATTGAAGTACAATACAATATTAGTTTAACAAATATAATACACAAGTAATAAATCGAATAAATGTTATTTGTCTGTTCAAAATTAATAGTATATATATTTTTTATTTTAATAAGAAACAAACAAGATACACAAGACAATAGTAAATGAGTAGTGATGACTTTTTCAGGTTTAATTATTTTAGGTGATTTTAGAAGAAATCTTTAAAATCAAAAGTTTTTTCTAATAGAAAACGTTTAGATTCTCTTTTGAATTGTTCTAAGGAGATGCCTCGAAGAATTTTATTTTTAATTATATTTTTTAAAAAACCTTTCCATATAAATGGTCCCCGGTATTGAATTTGAAATGAATTGAGTTTTAAATAAGATCTTGGAATAACAAAATTATCAGATGAAAATTTAGTGGGATATTTATGAGATATTTCGGTAAAGTAAGACTGAAATATATTAGGAGATAACGCATGTTTTGTTTTAAACGTAAATAGCATAACTTGGTATATATTAAGTTTGTAAATATTAAGCACATTAAGTTTCTTTAAAAGAGATTCACCATTAACAGTTCTGTTAACGCCAAAAATAATCCTACAAGCATGTTTTTTTTTGCTATAAATTTTTTTGAGCTTTTCAATTGCGTAAAAGAGGTATGGAACAGCTTAGAACCATTGTTATTAACAAAGCTTGTTGACAGTATGACTAAAAGAATCAAAGCAGTCTGCAAAAGGTGACCAAGTATTTTGAGATTTTGTTTCAAATAAAATGACTTTTTCAAAATAATAATAGAATACAATAATTTTTTAAATAATTATTTTGTACTATGTATATTTGGTAATACTTTTGTATTTATTAAATCATCATTACATTATAAAATGCTTCTTTTAATGCTAATGTTGATTTTCTTCAAAAATAACACAAATAAAAATTATTCCGTAAATCCTAAAACTTAATTTTTTGTTATAAACTGAAATGAATTTAGGGGAAAGTCGGGTAGCCCCGGATGGCGGGTAACTCCGGACACTTGATGTACAGCTTAAACTAAAAAAGCTATGTGACTTTTAATACTAGAATAATATTATTTCAGTGAAAATATGACATATGCAAAATATTTATCATAAAATGCCGAAGCTAATGACTGGGAGGGCAAGATTTTGTTTCCCACCACCAGAAGAGCGACGTATCATAATATTTGATTCACATATTAATATAATTTTTATGTAAGCTAATAACTTTTTAATGCTTAAAGATATATTCTTATTCACAATAGTTAAAAAAAAAAAATTCGTTAAAAAGTTTAGTTCACTGGTTTTAAAAGTAGTATTTGTGAATGAGGTATGACCGGGTGGTATCGGACACATGTTTGGAGGGTGGCTCCAGACAACTTAATTCGTTTACATATTAATAATAAACATTTTTTTACATAATAATAATAAAAAATATTAATATATTTAATATATTACACAAACCTATAACAGTAATTCATTTAAATCTTTACCAAGTCTAAGTTATTTGTCTTGAGAAAAAAATTTGACTTGTGAAAAAATTTGTCTTGAGAAAAAAATTAGACTATGCGGAATCGTTTTGGCTTCTTGTTTTTGCTATTGCCAAAATCGAAGTTAAGAAAAATCAGCCACTCTAGTATAGTATGACATTTACACTCCCAGTAAAAATCCTACAATAAAATTTTAAAAAAACTAAACCCCTTGGTCAATTTACACTTAGCTGCGTGTATCCTAAATAAACCAATCAATCTATCTGTTAGTGTAGCGACGCTGCTGGATGTACACTTTGTTATACACCTAATAAAGTTTTATGAAAAGTTTAAAATAACATTTTAACTATTTTTATTTAACGAAATAAAATATTTGTGCTTAAAAGTCTAAAAGAAAAAAAATTATTATTCTTTATATCGCTAATATATATTATTCTTTTATATCGCTTATTGTTTAGTATCTTTTTGATATACTAAATAAAAATCATACAAAATTCGTGTTTTTCTTGATTTTTTACTAATTTTAAAATTAGTAGAAGTTCAAGGAACTTTACTTTTTTTATTTTAATTTGCAAAAAGATTATAATAGTTACTTTAAATTAAAAACTTTATTGTTAATGCGTTTTTTTGCACAAATAAAATTTTAGTACCATACAACAAAATTGAAATTTAACAAAGATATGCGTTGAGAATTTTTCACAAGTTTTTGAGGCCTTTACCGTAAATAAATATGTCAAATAATTCTGTTTAAAACCAAAGCATAAACTATTTATGCTTTGATTTTAAATATTATTATTACATATCTATTTATTTTGAATGACAAAAATGATTCGGTTTTAAAATAATTAATGAAATATTAAAAAAACATCTTTTAAAATTTTTAAACAATAACTTAATTTTTACAAAAAAAATCATTTAAAATAAACATTCTACAATTTTTTATTCTCCAAAAAATCTTATAAATTTTAGATGTTATTTCAATTATATTTATCTTTTTTTCTCAAACTATATTTGTGTTACAATTATTTACTCAGGCTTGACATCAAAATTCGTTCCGTTCCGTTTAAATCGCTTGTTCTTCTTCGAATCCGAGATATTCTTTTAAGACCAAAACTTTGTCTAATAAATCTTTTAAAACCCAAATGCATCCAATAATATATTATTGGGTTCACGGACGAGTGTGCTACGTTCATTACTTTAAGAAACGAGTTTAAGGTCAACATTGATTTTGATATATTGAAGCCTCTGCCAATTACCAAACTTATTAAGTAAACAAACTGAAATATATCACGTGGTAAAGTAAGAAGAAAGAACACTAAAGTCAGAGTAACCAACAAACGAACAATTCTGTTATTGACTTTTTTTCTGCTTGTAACACCACCACCACCTAAAGCTAAGGTACTTGTTGGACTATAGTTAAGCATTTTTGAAAATATGCGATAGTTGGTAAAGTTAACAACGGCTAAAAGGGTAAAAGCATTGAAAAAAAAGTATAAAAAGCTGGGTATTTTGTACGCATTTTTTGTTGGGTGAGGTACGTTACAACTGCTACTTTTAACATTTGTAGTAAGATTTAGTGCATAGTGTGTATTCGCTATTAGTGCATATATCAAAACGAAAAAAACACTTAATTTTATATATGTAAATTTAAAATGCCTTTTAAATGGATACAATATAACACGTTGGCGATCAAACGACAGAATGACATATATTCCGATAGACATGGTTGTAGCAATTGTCCCTATTGGTACAAGCAACTTACATGCCCAATAACCAAGGTACCATTTATAACGTGTTATAGTCCAATATACGTATAAAAACGGATTGAACACAGAGGCAACAAAATCTACTATAGCTAAGAGACAAAATAAAAAGTCTGGTATTCTGCTTGGATAGGTTGAAAAAGCAGGTTTCAATTTTATTCCAAAATAAAAGAAAACAAAAATGTTACCTATGGTACCAATAACAAAAATTATTGTGAATAGTGTAACAATGATGATTTCGGTAGGTGTATATGATTCATAAATTTCAGTTGAGTTTTTCATCTGTTTTTATTTTTACAAATATAAGCTTTCTGTATTAGTTATATAAAAACTTATATCAAATTCATATATACATTTATAACATATATGTATATAAGAATTATATATAGATGTGTGTGTATGTATGTATATATGTACACGCTTACACATTCATGCAATATAAACTTATACGTCTGTGTGTGGGGTGTGGAGGTTATGGGGGGTGGGTACTAAAACTACGCGTTAGAATTTAACAAAAAAAGTATTCAATATTTGAAAAGAAAACTTTTTTAATAACTAATAATCTATTATTTATTTCTCATATCAGCAACAGTCTGTTTTTTATTTATGTCTTTTCCTGTAACTATTTCTTTTTTCAACAACTTAAAATAAAAAGCACAAATAAAAAGATTGTCTCTAATATAAAAAATGATAAAAATAAAAAAAAATTTATCAACTCTACTATTATATATATTTATACAATAATGCTTTATCAAACGTAAGATAAAGTTCAGGTGATAATGTTTGTTTAATTATTATGTAAAATGACAAAAGAAAGATATTAAAAATGCAAAGCTCAGAAATTTAAAATTATTTTAAACTAAAATTTTATCAAATAAGCTGTTTGATAAAATTTTTCTTTAACCCATATCGATTCAGCGTTCCCGAATGGGGACAAATAAATAATTTGATGTTTTGCTAATTCTGTTCATTTTATCTACTTGCTATAAAGACCAGCGTTTCCAAATGGGAACATTTATTTATATCCTCCTTAGACATTATCAATACTCTTGTTTTGCCAAAATATATTTTTTCCTGTGTTCACATACCGGATTCTAATAAAAAATTTACGAAAAAACAAATTTGGTCCTAAATGGGTTAAGTTAAGCAAATTATTTTTTTCCTTTGAACAGGTATTCACGTAAAAGTTGAAACTGGATTGAAAACCTTTAAAAACTTACTACTCTAAATTACTTAAAAAAACAAATGGAGACATGAAAAAAACATGGAGCATTATGAAAGAAATAATCGGGAAAAAAAACAAAAAAACAAATAGTTTTCCAGATAGAATCATTATAAATGAAACTGAACACGATAATATAAACTCAATTGCTGAACACTTCAACAATTTCTTTGAAAACATAGGCCCAAACATGGCGTCTAAAATTTTAACTACAAAAAAAATCCTTTGAAAATTACCTTACAGATCTAAATAGCGAACTAATTTTCAATGGATTAAGCTATGAAGAACTTGAAAATGAAAAAAACTCTTTAAAAATTAACAAAGCACCAGGAATTAAGGAAATTTGTAGCAATGTAGTAATAAATAAATTTCCGATAATAAAAAAACCCCTATTCGAAATATTTAAATCTTCAATTTTAACAGGAACCGTTCCAGAGAAATTAAAAGTTGCAAAAGTTATACCTATATATAAAACTGGAGAACCATATTTACTAAACAACTATAGACCAATCTCAATCCTTCCTGTATTCTCAAAACTTCTCAAACGAATAATTTATAATAAACTGTACATATATTTAACAAACAATAACATCTTAAATAAAAAACAGTTTGGATTTCAAAAACAACATGCAACCGAACATGCAATCATAGATCTTATAAATAGCATCAACTACTCATTTGATAATAATGAATTTGTTCTAGGAATCTTTATAGATCTATCAAAAGCATTCGATACTGTTGATCATGAAATCCTGCTCATTAATGGAAAAATATGGCGTAAAAAATGTTGCATTACTCTGGTTTAAAAACTTTTTGCTAAACAGATAACAATGTGTAAACACTGATGAAAATATCTGTTCAAAAATGCTAAAGATCAAATTTGGCGTTCCCCAAGGTTCCATTCTAGCTCCCTTACTGTTTTTAATATACATTAATGATCTTCCGAAAACCTCAAACAAACTTGATGTCATAATGTTTGCAGATGACACTAATTTATTTTATTCATCCCCGTTAATTACAGAACTTTTTGAAACAACGAATATTGAACTCAAAAAACTTAATATTTGGCTAAAATCTAATAAACTATCTTTAAACACAGAAAAAACTAATTATATCTTATTCCATCCAAATCAAAAAAGAAAAAAACTACCAAATATATTGCCATTGCTAAGAATAAAAAACAAAAATATCGAAAGAACCACAACAACTAAATTCCTAGGTTTACTTATTGATCAAAATATTTTATGGAAAGCCCATATTGACTATTTAAATACTAAAATAACCAAAAACATTGGCGTGCTATACAAAGCTAGACCAATGTTATCCCAAGAAAATCTAAAACATCTTTATTTTTCATTTATACATACCTATTATACATATGGTAATATAGCATGGGCCAGTACCCATAAATCTAATATAAAATCTCTTTATCAACATCAAAAACATGCCATTAGAATTGTCTATAAAAAAGATAAACTCACTCATGCTGAATCTTTGTTTAAACTCCTAAATGCACTAAACGTCTATAGAACTAACATTTACCAAAACCTACTCTTCATGCTAAAATTTAAACTCAGGCTTGTCCCACCACATTTCTTAAATGAACTTTTTAAAAGCAATAAAAATAGATATGACGCTAGAGAAGTAGGAAACTTTAATGTACCGTTCAGAAAAAAAAATTGTCGCGTTTCACAATTTCATATCGCGGTCCCTATCTCTGTAATAAACTGATATCCAAAAATGCCATTATTACAAAATTAGATAACATAAATTTTTGAAAATAAGCAGAAAGTTTTTTATTTTTATAATTTCGCTCTAACTAGTTCAGACCTTATTAACCTTTCGCTCTAACAGTTCAGATTTTATTTTTATTAAGGGTCTGAGCTACAATATAAGTATTCCATAGAAATCACATTTTAAAAACCGTTAAGAAAACATTAAAAAGATGAACTGGCGTCAGCCAAAAACTATTTTGATGTTTTAATCATTTCTGATGTCTCCGGCGATTAGACGTATTTCTGGCACGATTGTCCTTGTTCAAAAGCTGTGTAAAGCGACTTATCTTGTGATTTGTTTGTGTATACTTAATCTCAGGATATTTTCTTGTTTTTTATTTAGTGTTGTTAGAATTAATTGCAATTGTGCATCCCATTTATTAACCGTAGCAAATCTTGCAGCGCAATTGAAACGTATTTGGGCTCAAATGACAATATTGTCAATGTCAGTTTGCAGGCATAGTTTACAAAATAAAATTTTTTTAATTTTAGACCAAGATTTAAGCCCAGCAAAACATCACTTCTCTTATTCAGATGTTACGTTATCAAGGAGAACATGTTACGTTCTGATGAAAAAACGGCGTTAAACTCATTTTAAAAATTGTCACTAAATTTTATTCAATTAAAACTTTTGTACACCTTTTGCAAGTAACTTCGTCAGATGCGTTGGAAAAACCAAAAAAAAAAAAAGTATTAAAAGAAAGCTTAAATGATGCAGAGTAAACCAAAAAACTTATACTTTCAAGAAAGTTTGCAACGCAGATATTTTGCTGACAAATCCATGTTGATGCTTGGGAGTGAAGATTGTTATTCATTAAATATAGTATAGTTATATTTTTTGAAAACATTTTCATTACTTACATTTTAAAAAAGAAAAAATAGTTGATCTGTACTGTTGATGCAACTTTTTTTAAAGCTTTTTGTTCTAGTCAAGAACAAACTGCAGCTCGAGATTTTCTTTACAAGTTTGGGATGAACACGGATAAACTTTTTGCAAAACCATTTTGAAATATTACAATAGGTAGTTTTAATTAAAAGATCTGTTGGACTGCATAAAGGTTTGGGAAAAATACACCTTTCATCATAATCGGGTAAGGAAAAATGACAACCGGGTAAAGAAAGGTGACTATGAAAAAGAATAAAATTATTTACTATTCCCTGGGGCACTTTAAAAGAAGTTAATTTACAAAAAGAGTAAAAAATGGTTTTCAACGTGTACTGGTTAGACTTTACTACATTATGTTCTAACTTTAGGTGTGTTTTTGTTTAAAGAGTCAATGGAGAAACTATTATTAAGCTAAAAACATAGCTTACTGTATAGCAGACCTTGATAATACGCGGTTGGAATAAAAAAGTAGAGGTTAGTTTAAAAATGTAACGTCGTAGCAGTTTAGATTTTCAGTTAAGCGATTATTTTTCCCAAATATTACATTTTTATGACTTATCTTTTAAAAGTAACATTTTAAAGAAATTTAATTAAATTGTTTGTTTTTATTTTTATTATTTTTATTTTTACAAAGTCATATTTGTTATAATATTTTTAAAAAAACTTAACTTAAGTGTTTTTAAACTAAAAGAAGAAAAAGTTAATTGTGTTTTAACTAATGTGTCAAAGGCGGATTCATATAAATGTTGGGAGGTGGGGCGGCGATGGGGGTGATCTCCCTTCCTCTTAATCTTTTGAAATTTTTTTTTTATAAATTTATATATATAACTGAGCAATTGTTTGAAAACAGAAGTAAATTAGAGAGGCTGTTTAAATGCGATAAAAAATTTAGTGTTATTATCGACTTCGACTAAATCGACTTTCAAATAATCGATTAAGTCGATTGTTTGAAAGTCGAAATTAGTCGACTAAGAAAAAACGAATAATAATCGACTATTGGCTTTCTACTAATCGACTAAAAGTAAATTTAGTCGAGTGAAAATTCTGAAAAACCTTTTATATTTTTATTCGATTTAGCTTTCCAATCTTTTATTTATTCGTTTATACTAGAGGTATCACAAATATTATTTTTTCCGAATACCAAATATTTGGCTGCCGAATATTTAATAATACTTTCTTGTTATGAGGGTTCCGACCTGCTTCATTGAAGCGCATATCAAGGGTGCACTGGCAATCCTTAGTATACTGGCAAAAGTCATCAAGTCAAAAATTGGCAGTTTTGACTTAATCATGCAACATTGTAAAGTTTATAACGCTTGACAAACTGGCATAGTAAGCTTAGCCTAATATAATATTATCTTTTCTCTGGTTACAAAAATGCAACCTTAAATCATAAACTCATATTATATTTAGGCTGAAAGGTTTTAAAATGAAAAAAGCTAAAAGCTAAAATCTTTTCTTAAATAAATTTTTGAAATTATGGTGTATTTAAATGTCAACACCAAATGCAATTTAATAAGATTATAAAAGTTTCAAATTGGAAGAAAGCTTAAATAATTTATTTCCCTTAACTTTTTTGAGTTATCGTTTTTTGCAAGAATACCAACTATATTTTAACTACGTTGTGGCCGTTTTTGTTTAATTTTTGATTTTACTGTGTAACAACACACATTATTTGCTGACTTTAACATCAATTTGGTTTAACTATAGTTATGTATAAACGTATCGTACTCAAACGTATAAACGTATCGTACTCAAACGTATCGTACTCAAACGTATAAACGTATCGTACTCAAACGTACAAACGTATCGTACTCAAACGTATCGTATCAAACCTCTCAAAAAGGTTATAAAAATAACCAGCTTAGGTAATTGGATTTCAGAAACTGATATAGATAGATCTTCATTACAACCTGAACTTTAAACATAGTTTAACTTTAATGGGAATGTCAATTATATGGTTGCGATAAAAAAAATGCAATAAATCTTTCTCAGTGAAAGGCTGCTTAATACCAATGAACCATCACCGATGACTAGTAGCACCGGTGATAATTCAGTTCTAGCTCGTAAAAAGAAATTTAAATGAAAATAATCAAACTAATCTCTACGACAAAGTGCACACCTATGAAGGCGACAGAAATAATAATTCCAATTGTAACTAGTATTAGTTTTTACATGAAACCGCTCGCTTAAATTGGACAACAAACCCTTACAAGTGTTGGTCAACAAGTGCAAAATATTATCTTAACAGAACTTGCTTAAATTTTGTTATAACTTGCCGGTGGCAGTAAACATAGTGAATGGCTATTTTAGGAAGTATGACATCTTTAATTACAACTATTACCTTTTTTTGTTTACTCTCTTAAAGTTTTATCTAATTGAGAGCATATTATGTAATTAAGAGCATATTAGCATTATTTAGGCTTTTCCGGTGCTCTGTTATGAGACCGTAAGGACCTCTAGGAGCACCTTAATAACTATAAAAAATTAAAAAAAGTTACTCCTAATTAAATTATCGGTTATGTATTTCATTATTTTTTTTTCTTTTATTTATTCGATGCTTTTGACTTTCATAAATACTTTCATATTGGGCAGCTTCAAACTGGCTCGGGGTCCTGGGACAAAATTAAGTTGTGAAGTTCCAAAATCTTGATGTCATCTATACAATCACATTGTAAATGTGATTGTAAAAACTTTGGTATATAGCAAGTACTTAAGGCAGCCCCTAAATAATTGGGGTCTTGGAGTAAATTGGCCAGTTGTAATAGCGACTGTTCTCTCTTTTTTTCTTCATTCCATTAATATTTATGATGAAAAAAAATATTCGATGTTAAATATACATGATGTTCAAAATAATACTTCGTAAAATTTGAAAATAAATTACTTTACTATTTTCAAGACAATTAATTTAAAGAAATCAAATTATTGCCATATTTCAACTAAATCAACTTTAGTCGATTTAGTCGAGAATAAAATTATTAAATAATCGTAAAAAAAACAAAAAAATTTTAATACTTTTGTGTGGTACAAAAAAAATCGGAATGATGAGATATTGATATATAACTTAAAAAAGTATTGAAGTTTTGGAGCCTGGGAATGAAACACCCTAAAACTTATGCTCCATGCCTCCTTAACCCCGAATGTCCAAAGGTTAGGGCAATTAGTTACTGGTTTTGAAACTATTCTAAACTATATTTTTGTTAATTTATGTTAGCCTACGGGTATAACCATAAACTATTAAAGTTAAAGTTTTGTTATTTTTCTCAAAATTATATTTCTCAAACACCAAAAAAGCTGCTCTCAGGGGTCGAGAAGTTTTTTCCATAAGCCATTCGTTCACAAACTACAATGTTTTTTGTACCTGGAATATTTTCTCTTGCAAAAAAAAAAGGAAAAGAAAAAACAAAATCTTTTTTCCCTTTTTCTAAAGCATTTAAACACATTTTAAAAAAGGAGCATTAACTTTTTTTGACCTCCCTTCTCCCCCTTTTTAATAATAGTCAAAAAATTTTAGAACCCTCCCCCCCCCCAATCTTATTTTGTTAACATAAATAATGGACAACCCCAAAGAACCCTCCGCCTATTATCTTACTTCTTAACTTCTTACTTTTTATGGACAATCTCTTACTTCTTAAGAGATCGTCCATAAAATTCGTACGCTTGTAGGGGAAGAGAGGGGTCAGCAATAGCCTACATAAGCGTAAGGAGGGAGGAAGGGAGAATTTTTCTAAAATGGCTTATTATTAAAAAAAAAAAGTCATCAAAAAAAAAGTCATCAAGAAGGTGGCAATATACTTATATTTCTCAAATTTATATTTTGTTTTCCATTGCCATTTAAGTCATTGCTTAATACTTCTTAAGAACAATATAAGTACAAATAGAATTTTGAAATTTTTTTATTTTTTAATTTTTAATTAATTAGCGCAGCATCTGTCTTAAAAAGGGTAACAAGTTTAAAATCAAACGCTTTAAACTTAAATGTTTTGTAATGTGTTTTTTTATTGTTTTACAATAAAAAAACACATTACAAAACATTTCAAAACTAAATAATTAAACCCTGTTTGTATCTTTTTTGTAACATAAAAATTAAGTTGTACTTTATAATCCGTTAAAGTTATTTGACTTAATAATTAAAATTTATCATAATAAAAGTGCAATTTGATTTACCAACAAGTACTATAAGTTTCATAGTATAATCTTTCAGCTTCAAAAGTTATGACATAAGTATAAACATATAAATGTTTGGAGTTTGCTTCATGTCTGAAAGTTAGCTATTTCAAAGACCAAAAAATATTGGTTCCGCTTCTGACTGATACCTGATAAACTTGAAAAAAAAGATATTTTCAGAAAGACAAACAAAACAAAGAACATCAGTCAAAAACAGAACATCAGTCAAAAACATCAGTCAAAAACAGCTCAAGGTAAGTTTGAAACGAACACTTAGCGATATTATTAATGACATGCCATATTTTTACTTAATGACACGTTATACTCAAAGGTTTCTAAAATCAGTAGAAATAAAATGGTGGACTAACTGAAAAAAAAAAGTTACGATAGCAAGTATTATTAAATGGGATTTAGATGTCTAACAGTAACTTATGCACTTTATCAGCAGGATTGGTTTTGCCTCATGGTCATTTTAGGATACATCAAAAAAACATCTGGAAAGATAATTAACGTTCATTTACAAAAAAAGTTCTGCTATGGTTGCAGAAATTTCTTGAGGTTGAATTGGATATCAGTGCCGGTGCAAACTTTTGGGAGGCTGGGTTCAAAAATTTGTATGTTCTAATTTTACGTTCGTCTAAACATTTACGACTAGTTTTTACCGGAATCTTCGGGAACATGTCTCCTGGACTATTAGGGTTGTTTTTGAACTTAAAGTTGGTGTTTCTGGCATTATTGGAACCGCAGCAACGAAGTCTTGATCTTGGTCTTCCGAGTCTTCCTTGAACATCATCCGCGTTTAGAGCATTCATATAATGCAGACTTCTGCATGCTTTTTCTTGTTTGCTTGTTTCCTCCGTAGCTTTCCGCTTTTTCTCATATAACTGATGTCTTTCCTCGTTTCTCTTCACCTTTGCTTGCGTCATTATATGAGAAAACCAGGTCTTACTGGGTATTGCCAGTTGTTAACTTTTGGTGATGCAACATGAAAAAGAGTGGCAAGCGCTGCTAGTTTTATTGCAATTAAATTACCAGTGTTTTTTTTAATTGCCATATCAAAGAAATTTTTCAGTCGATCAATTATTACCGTTAATCTTGCTTTACTTCTAAATTCTCTCACTTCTTTTAATTTCCGAAATCAGTTTCCTTCACGCTCCTGATAGTGTCCAACACATTTCAATTTAGTCACTTGAGCCTCAGGCTAAACATCTTAGTTCTAGCTCAGAAACAAAAGGTCCGATATTCAACGCTGACTCTAAGCTTAAGACTAAGCTGAAGAGCTTAATAAGCGACATTGGTAAAGAAAGAGGCGTAAACATCCTAGTTAAACGCTCTTCCAGTTTTTATCACTGGTGCTCTGTGAAAAGAACGCAAGGATTTCTGGGAGCAACTTATTAACCACAATTTAAAAAAATCATTTTTAATATTGGTATGGACATACTTTTGTACTGTTGAATTAAAAAAGAGCTTCAATCTTGTAAGAAGAAATGCTCGATGTATCGAAGATGTCAGTTTGGTTATCAACAAATTTTATTACTGGTCGTCTTGCTCATGCTTTACCTCAATCTACCTTTACTATGTTGAAAAACTGAAAAAAGGTAAAGTTCTAGTAAAAATTGCAATAAATATTGAGATGAAAACATAAAAATTAAATTTTTCTTCATATAGTTTATATTTAATCAGAAGCCAAAAAAGTTTTTACTTAAAAACTTTATCTGGTTATTTTTACAATAGTCAATTATTTAGTTGTACAACATTTAATACTCTATTAATATTAAATGTTCAAATGTTTAAGGGATTATTTAAAAACACATTTATTTCTTAATTCTGGTACATAGAGAAATTTTTAGACATAGCCACTATAATTTTTGAAATCTCCATACATTAAAATAAATCAGTTAAAATACTTTTTTTGGTTTTTTGAAAATTTTTGGTGATTAAAAAACTAATAAAAGGAAATTAAAAAAAACTGTGCTCTCTTTATTTTACAGAACTTGCTTTCTTGTTTTTAAAAATAAATTGAACTTGTTTTCTCTTTTTAAAAAAAAATAAATTGAACATGCCTACAACTTTTTACTCTAATCGCGCGTTAGCAAAGTCTCGTATATAGTAAAGCTTAGCTGAGAAGCATGTATCTGTTCTCGTCACTTAACATGCTGTGGAACATTATATCAGTGACATAAGGCTATTTAATTTAAAAGATTTAAAATTAATTAATTCTCTATTAATTTTTTACAATTGACAAACGGAGACATTAAAACTTGTTCTGACAACTTCTGTAACCCAGTGGGGATGTGTCGTCCAGGAGACGTCCGTAAGACATCTGGATGTCCGTAATACGTCTGACAGACATTCCCTTGGACAACGTATACCTACTGGAAATGTACATGAAGTCTATTGGAAAAATTTGAAAATCAATTGTTCTATTGATGTCAAACTGCCAATTTGTTGTCCTTCCATTTGGACTGATTACATTAGTCATGAATATGGTGTTTCCTAATTTTGTTTAATTATGAAACCATCATTAAAGCAGAAAGCAAATTATTTAAAAATTGCCAGCTATAAAATCTTATAAATGGGTTTGCCAGTCTTAGCTAATTGTCCAGATGTTCATCCTACTCCTTCCGATTCACAATCATCTAACAATGACAGCGACCCCAATTTTGTTTTGGAAAAATCAAACAGCAAAAATTCTAAATGATCAGTTGAGTCATTTAACGATATTTTTAAGGGGTTAAATCTCAGTAAATTAATGTCCAAGAATTTGTCTTGCTTTGTCATGCTTTACAAAAAACGGAAACTTAAAGAACTTAAAGAGACTTAAAGCAAAAGAGCAGATCTTATCAAGCAATTCAAAATCATTCGTAAACTCGAGCTTGCCAGTTTTGTCGTCCCGCAAAAATTTTCAAAAAGTAAAGATAAGTATATTCTAATAGGGCATAACCATAAACTAAAACGTCAGATGGTAAAAAACTGTGAGGAGCGATATAACTGTTTTTCAAACAGAATTGTCGCCCCATGGAATGCGCTTTCGCAAGAATAAATCGCTTTTTCAAAAATAACATAAGAAAGTAACTTTAGAGATACAACTGCTGCTTTGTCTGTAGCGTCTGTATCTCCATGTTCGTCAGTATAGAGGGGCCTGGTGTAGCACCTCTTCATCAAATTATAAATGGATTATTGTATTTGTATTTGATCACTGAAATAAATAAATAAAAAAAAAACAAAAAAAAAAGAAGAAGCTCACAATAGTGACGCACAGTGGAGCACAGTGACGCACAGTGGGGCACAGTGACGCACAGTGGAGCACAGTGGAGCACAGTGGAGCACAGTGACGCACAGTGACGCACAGTGACGCACAGTGACGCACAGTGGGGTATTTTATTAATTTAGGCGGCCTAAACTCAATTTTTAAAGACTGTCAAGTATAAAAATTTTTTTTTTTTTTTAAATGCTGAATAGTTAGTGAATGTGTGTGGTAAGGCATTGTGAAAAGATTTCTTTTCACGCATATCATGAAGAGTGATTCGATTATTAATATGGGCAAATATAGTCAACATGTATTACCAATAGAGTAAAGTTTATCTCCTGTCGGGTCAGAGCGGTAGTGCTAATAGGGGCAATGCTCCTAAATAATTAATGTTTTTTTTTTCACTTTTTTGTTGAGCAGAAATAGGTTAGTGGCCATAATAAAACTTTGAAAAAGGCGGTGGGGGTGAGAGGGGGGATACTGGTTGCTACCTATGCATGCAAAACTCAGCTTAGTTACTGTTCCATTAGAGTGCGCTTATTCTACAATTTTTTTTCTTTGTATTTGCCTTCTCTATTAATTATTTTGTTATGGTTACATGACGCAATATAACATATTTAGTATCCGCAGGGACATCAACTGCTAAAACAGTTTTTAAAAAATTATTAGTCATTTAAGCTATATATAAAAGTGTTCATCAAATATAATCTTTTATTGCATTTTATCATATATAATCTGAAAAAAAAAATAGCAAGGAATACTGAACAATCTTCTATTATTGGTTGCGGGCACCCCAATAACCTTCTTTTTGTAGCTTTAGTGTCCAACCCGTCCAGGAAAATTAGAAAAAATAAAGTCTTATTCATTTAAAAAAATTTCTTTAGAAAAAAATTGTAATTTTTTTTTCAACTAGACTAGCAAAAGCTCGAAGACTATTTTTTTCTAATTTTACTTTATCTTTCAGATATCTGACATTCTGACTCTAGATCTCTGACATTTTTAGTATTTTGCAGTCCCGATGAACATACATGTTAAATTTATTTTCTTGGCAAAGAGGGCCTAATTTTTTTCTCAAATATATATATTTTTTATGTTGGTTTATAGATTTTTTTAAAAAGAAAGACTTTTTCTAAAATGGTTTTGAAAAAGCATTTTTTTTTTTTTTTGATTTACTTGTTTTAGTATTAATTTTATTGTCAAGAGGAAATAGGTTAGTGGCCCTGATAAGAGTTTATCATAGTAGGGTTGGGCATATTTGTAGCTATGCTGCTGCTTTTTTTCTTCTTTTATTCAGCGTGGTTGTTTTTAACAACTACTCTAACCGAAACATCATTTTTTTTGTTTTTTTGTTTTTTGTTTTTGTTTATTTATTAATAATTATTCATAAAACTATTTTCTAGAATGAACTAATTTAAATTAGTCCTTTCCAGACAACAATTCTTCATATTAGAATTATAGGGTTCTATCTGCTTTTTTAATGTTGTGAGAACTTAATTTTTAATATTTATTTAATAAATGTTTTACAGCTGTTATTCTTTATACTTATAAATTATAAGTTGTTTATGTTGTTTATGTTTCATTATTAAACATATATTATTATTCATATCATTTTTTAAGTTATTTGTTTTTATTTATTATTATTAATTAACACTTTGATTATTAAATTCTTTTTTTTAACATAAAAAAAGGCAGGTAGAACCCTATAATTCTCATGCGACGAATCATTCCAGTTAGTCATTTCCAGAAATAACTTTCATTTTGGTTTTTTAGCAACAACCATGCTGAATAAAAGAAGCAAATATTCAAAACTTAAAATAAAATAGAGTCCAAAAATAAACCAGACAGTCTTTTAAAATAAATTAAAAATTAAATTTTTACACTTTTAAATAATTGATGAAAATAATATCAAGATTATTATTATTATTTTTTTTTTTTGACAAAAAAAAAAAAATTAGTTAAAAAGTAAAAAATGTAAAAAAAGTAAAAAGATTAACTTTTGAGAATAACAATAAAAAAGATTATCTTAAAAACTTTTGATAACCACAGCAGCTTTAGTTTAATGTATTTTAGCTTAGTTAAATGTATTTATTTTATTGATTAGATTTTTTTTTTCAGCAAATTTTTGTTACTATTTTTCATTTAAAATTTTTAAAAATCAATAGCAAAAAAATAAGCAAAAATGAAAATTACCATCTTTAAACAACCATATTCTAATCACATATACTCAGGCCGGCAGCAAGTTTTTTGTTTTTGTTAGAGAACTTAACTTTATTAGGCACTTCAACATCTGAGCGCGTAATATTGACAATCGATAAAACACGGCTAAAGAAAAAAGATCTGAGGTTTTATGCCGACAAAAAAGTTTTAGATGTACGTTCTTTAGGGGTGTTCATTTTTCATCAATTTTGTTTTTTTAACATGTATGCAGGCTTGAAGATGGGCAATTACAAGTTATTTAAAATGTTTTTTATTTTTCAAAAAAATCATTTTAACATCTTGCGCCAACTAACGCCATTTTTTTCAAATTTTGAAATTCTTACTAGTTATCAAAAATCTAAAGACCTGATTGTGCTACAAACATGTATACGATATATTTTATAGTTGACCATGTCTACATGACGTGTGAAAAATTGAGTTCTTATCTCTATTGAATCACCTGCACCAAATAATTTTTCA